GACAAATGTCAAGTTTTCTATGCCAAGCCCAATAGGAGGCTCACCACAAGACATAAGAAAGAAAGAAGAGAGAGAGAGAGAGAGAGAGAGAGAGAGAGAGAGAGAGAGAGAGAGAGAGAGAGAGAGAGAGAGAGAGAGAGAGAGAGAGAGAGGGAGGGAGGGAGGGAGGGGAGGCCTCTTTTATGTCCATTTGACTTTTATGTAATTGAACCTCTTTTATCCTAGTTAATGCCATCTAAATTTCATGAAGTTCTATTCCCCTTTGCCTCACCGATTTTGAATAGTCGACGTCATTGAAGGAAGTAGGGAATCATCCCCGTCAACCATCCGTAATTTATTTATGAGTTGGCTGATTGAACCTTGAGAGAAATCTCTCAACATGCATTGAATTTCTCTATTCATTGTTGCTGAATTTAAGAGAGTAAACAAATCAGAATGTGATCATTAATTAATATACATCGACTAATACAAAACTCTCTTAGTGTTCAACCTAGTTTTCTATTAATTTATCAAGGGATTATTCCTACGAAAATCACTTTATAAATTTATAATTGACGATCTTAATAACAACGACTTAAGAACGATCAAATTTTTGGTGCCGTTGTTGAAGAGAATTTTGCAATTGCTGATTTATATTATTTTTGAACGAGTTTGATTCAAACACATCTGTGTTCTTGCAGTTTATTTCAATTGTTCATATTAAAGAAAAACAATAATCATAATATAGAACTATGCACAACATTGCATTTCATTTTGATTTCAATGGGCATCAATTTTGTCAATTCCTGTTTGTTCTTTATTTGAAATTCTGAAAATCTATAAATACTTTTTTATATTCTATTGAATTTTATTTCACACGAGTTATTTTCAGTCCATTTAGATCTTTTATTCTATCTTATTTTATTTCAGCACAATATTAAATTCTCACTTTCACCTGCATTTTTACTGAATTAAAATAGCACACAACAAGTTATTTTTGCCCAATTTTTTATTGAAGATGTTGTATTTCTCCAATACTTTCATACGAATTCTATGCCGTACTAATTATCCAAAAATATGGATGGAAGAAAAAGCCTTAAACAAATTGTTGTAGTAGCTAAATGAGAGAGAGGATAGAGCTCTAGGGGGAAAAATGAACATGAGTCTCACCCCACCAACTTAGGGAACTAAGATATGCTACAAAACTTAGAAAATTGTCACCTCTATGAACTTATGTATGACCACTATACCTCAAATTTTTATAGGCCAACATCTTAAATTAGGATTCCACTAGCTCATAATGTTCACTTCAATCTAAAACATGGGATGATACAACTGCATCCCACATTCTATGGACTATTGATATAATTTAGTCGTTGTACGATAAATAACGTAAATTTAAAATTTATAAAACCAAAAAATATTAATTTTTAGATATTTAAAAATATTTTTGAATAAAGATATTAATTATAATTCAATAAAAGTTTCAAAAATAGTGAAAAAATTTCATATCGATCAAAAAAATATAATATAATATTAGGTAATACTTTAGAATTTTTCTCAAAGAATATAATTTTTATAAATTTTAGACTAAGAAATGAAAATAAAATATATTTAAAATTCACAAAAAAAGACAATAATGGTATGAAAGTCAAGATGACGTCAACACCTGATGAACATGAATAAGACGTAATCATAATTTTGCCCAATGATTCTTACGTAAATGAGTACATATGATTTAATTGGTCAAATTAATATCTATAAAAACTAGAAGAATTGTAATTGAAAGAAGAATAATTTAGAAAGTTGACATCACACAAAATTATCACTAATTGAATTAAAAATTAAGTTGAAAGTAGAAAAAATAAAGTTTTGACATTGTGGTGATAATGTATTGACGATGTGTCAAAATTTTAAGCATTCAGGAAGATTGTTGTACAATGTCTATGGCTTCAAAGGCTTTTTTTGCATAAGGATGACATAGACAATCTCTAGATCTTCTTATGAAGTTTAGAGATCAATGAAATAAGTCATCGAATCATCTCTAGTGGTTGTCACCCGGTGGAGTAGAAAAATGGTAACTTTGCGACTCTTTCACAGGTGTTACCCAATGGAAATGACTTGGATGGAGGTAGGGCATGTGTCAAGAAGCTTCATTCTTAGGTCTACATAATAAAAGGATGCTCTTCATTGCATCTAGTATGCTCTCAAGAGGTGAGGACTCATCTCCTGATAGATCGTCTTCTTTCCAACAACGACTTGTTCGTCGATCAATTAGAGATGATTTACTCAATAGATTTACAATCTTTTTATCACGAATCATTCAACAATTTTAGTAACGATACTCCGCGAATCGTGTTGATGAGATTTTTATTGATGATTGAGTGATTCTGGTGGCTTAATCCTTCACCGATGATTTGTAGAAAAATTAAGATTTAATCAGATAAAAATATGAGTTTTATCTCTGGTAAAATTTGAACCCTCGTTGGTCATCTACTTGTATGAGAGAGAGGAAAATAAGTTCTCGAATACCCCCTTATATAGTGACGTCATCATGGTATCTCGTTGTTATAAATAAGAGGTATTTTTGAGACGGTGCATGTGAGCCGACTATAGAAGACTAAACCGTGCGACCTATGGATTTCTTCAATCATGTCGGCATTTGAGATGATGAGAGTTGAGACGCTACCAAGTTTCAGTTACATGAGAGGCTCATAATTATTTGTCAAGCGGAGGAGGGAGCGATGGAGGTTCTTTCCTAGCTGATGGAGATTCCTGATGAAGGGTAACCCAAGAGGGCCAAGAGGCAAGTAGAGCCTCGATTTCCATCCAAGGGAATGGAGAAGAAGGGGAGGAAGAGCAAGGCAGCAGAGAAGAATTCCAAGGAGGATCAAATCCATAGTTACCATCCTTAGTTTCCATCTTGGAATGGGGAAGGAAGTCTCCCCATTCATTTAAATCCCTCCTCTGCTCTCTACTTCATACAAAAAAATGTTAGCACAATATTCATTGAAAAATTTATTTCCTATACCGACAACATCGGTAGGCAGGATGGACCGGCCATCTACATGTTTTTCTTGTGTAATAGTTGTCAACAACTGGCATTGTCAGCTAGAACAAGTCATCGTCGAGTTTGACATTTCATCGGAAATGTAGAATGAGTTGTCTGCATTTAAGTTGATGTAGATGTTCCTACCCTACCAAATGTTACAAGGAGTTAGACTTCGACAGGTTAGATCTGCATCAACATTACATTGCTACCCCATGGACTGGTTTTCACGGAGTTGTAGATATTAATTACATTAACAATTAGTATTAGCCCCAAAGGTTTTACTACGAAGGTTGTTAGTAGTCAATTCCGAATGAAAAAGTTTGCATGTATATTAACCGTTACTAAAATTATGGTCAAAATAATAATTATTTTTTCTTCATTTTATATTAAATTTGTATAAACTTTTACATCATTTTTATTGTCTATTGCATCAATTTCTAAAGCAAAATGTAAATTTACGACCATCATGAGAAAATTATCTATCAAATGTTGAATTATAGGTAAAAAAAATTTAAAATTATTAATCAACATATTTCATCAATTTTTAGACTTCACAAAAAGTCTAGAGTTTACCCACAAATGTCTGAAAAGAGCTTTTAAGGTTGTGGACATCACATACAAATTCTTTCAAACTTTTAGAATTTTGATGATTGTTGCTACCATATCAAAACTTTGTCTTTCCTACTTTAAACTTAGTTATTATTTAAAATATTAATATTTTGTATGATTTCAAGTTTCAATAATTTTCTTTAGTCCATTACGATTCTTTTGGCTTTTACAAATCTTAATTTAATTAATTAAATGATCTATAATCATTTATGTAAGAACTACTAGACAAAACTTTATTTCTTTACAAATCACATTTTTTGGGATGCTAATGTCATCTTGACGTCCACATCTAAATTTTTTTTTCATAATTTTTTAAATATATTTTATCTTCATCATTAATTCTAAAAATTATAAAAATATATATTATTTGAGGAAAAATTTAAAGTTTTTACCTCATGTTATTTTTCATCCCTTGATTGATATAATTTTTTTTCACTATTTTTGAAATATTTTATCAAATTATAAATGATATATTTGTGTTGAAATATCTTTGAAATTTTAAAAATTAATATTTTTTAGTTTTATTAATTTTAAATTTATGTGATTTATTATACAATGATGAGTCACATTTGTGCCGTTGTTTACAACACATCTTATCACAAGAAGGTGCATTGAAGCAGCTTATCTATGGAGCTCTTTATCTATCACTCACTCTTGGCTGGGGAGGGAAAAAAATATCTCACATCACAGCTACTTGTAGTCGTCCCTTGCCGATGATGACAGTTTGTCCCCGACATTCAAATGGGCAAAGATCGTCTTTAGCAAATCTGTCAAAAGTAACTAAATAGTCAACGCTAGACTTGACGAAGTGGGTAGCAAGGCTTTCTCTGAACAGCATGCCGCTATGGCGGGATTCAATGGAAGGTGACATGTGGTAATACTGATCTTTCGGATCGGAGGGTTCCAGAGTTTCTCCAGCTCGACTGTTTTAGATGGCTAGAGAAGAGTCCTTTTGATGGCCAAATGGGCCGACATCTGATTTCGGGCCTCCGCGAGCCTACTGGGCCGGCCGATTTGTGTGAGTTGGATTCACTTGGCTGTGGAAGGGCTGGAGACTGGACGGCTGAGATGACAATTGATTCGAAAAATAATATAGAACCGTCCAATTGCGGTCGTCTGTGGCTCGTCGAGCGGCGGTTTGGACATATGCGGTTACCGTATCTGAGCGACGGTGACTGCAGCCTTTTCCCGTGTTGTAGAGTGGTTGACGGTTAGGCGCGTCCGCTCACCGCATGTCAACTCCCGTCCCCTCTCGAACGGACGGCGTACGCGGTTATTGGTCCTCTATGCCACAATAGAAACTTCCATTCCCGTACCGTTGCCGGCCGGTAATCTCTCTCTCTCTCTCTCTCTCTGAGTGATGGAAGGACACAAGGAAGAGCGGGCGCCGAATGAAATGCAGCAGGGAAGGACGAATCATCCGAACCCTAATTCCGATCTCAAAGTCAAAGTCAGCTCCAGTGCCATCCCCGCTCTCTCCACCGGAAATGTGATGCCCCAGCCGCCGCCGGGGGCGGGGTCGGCCCCGCCTGCGCTGCCCCCGTTTGGAAACGACAATATCGCCTCCGCCGCCGCCTCCCTGCGCGGGTCGCATCACCGCCGTGCCCAATCCGAGCTGGCATTCCGAATCCCAGAAGAGCTTGACCTTGGTTCCAGCGACACTCTGTCGTCGGGCTTCGAAGAGATCGGGACGGAGGACGATCTGTTCTGCACCTACATGGACATCGAGAAGATAGACTGTAAGGTAGGGGCGGGCGGTTCCAGAAGGGACGGTGGGAATGCGAATTCCCGGGATTGTGCGGCGACATCCGCGGAGAACGCACAGAAGAGGGGATTAGAAGAAACGAAGCGAGACAATTTGGCTACGACAGTCTCTTTATCCGCTGCAGCGGTCCCTAGACCTAAGCATCGCCACAGTAACTCGGTGGATAGTTCGATAATGTACTCGTCGACAATGTGCCCAACGGAATGCATACTTGGTGAGGTCGGAGAGGCTAAGAAGGCAATACCGGCTGAGAAACTGGCGGAGCTGGCTGCCATCGATCCAAAGCGTGCTAAAAGGTTTTTCTTCATTTCCCTTTCGATTTAACAACTCTCTTTGAGTTGCTTCAGCTTCAATTGTCTCTCTTCCAAAAAAAATTCTTTTTTCCTGTGCTTATATTTTAGGCGATGGATTTTTTTTGTCTCTTATCCATTGGATTATCCCATGGATTTTTCCTATGAATTTTAGTAATTTTCAAAGTACTAAAAGTCGGATTTTTCCTTCCCGTGTAGCTGTTATCTTTTATCATTTTTACGATAAATACGCATGGTTGCTGATGTCCATGTTTCACGTTCTTTCACTGTTTTTTATTTTTTATTTTTTCTCGAATTAATGCAATAATTTACCATTCCAGGGCCTTACTATTTTCTCTGAAGTAGTTTTATAGATTTATCTTTTGCAGAATAATTGGTTATTTCTGCATATCCAGAGGACCTTTCTCCATGCCCTCAACTTTCATATCCTTTTTTCTCGGTGGGTGGGCTAATTATGGGTCGCAGACTTCGCTAAAATCTCTTTAATACGATCTTCATTAGTCTTCTAACCTAGGTCTGAATTACACATAGAACTCAATACCTGCGAAGGTTTCTTTCGTAAGAGGTGAGTGCTCAATAACAGAGAATAGGATCCTAAAGAAGTAGCTATGGCCTTAGAATACCATCATTTGTATCCAGATATCATCATCTCATGTAATATAGTACATTCTCATTCTACATATCTGTCAATATAAAACTGTTGAAACCAGCTTGAATCTTGAATATTGAATTGCGTTTGAGCACATTCTCGTTCCAGTAAATGATTTACACTGCCGCTAAAATGTATGATTTCTTTTGCTGTTCTTTGAATGTTCTTTATTCTCTATTCCATCCAATGTGCAAGAAAAATTGTCAAAAAAATAGCAGTCCTCCCTCTGTGGGAAGATTTATTTTTTTTTGTAATGTTTTAATGGGATCAACAATCACCTAATTTCCGTCATCCAATAAATGAAGACCAAAGAAATAGCCTATATATTTTTGTATTATTCCACCGCAAAAGCAATCATTTGATATACTCGAGTTCTCCATTCTCAAAGGAAACATCTAACAGGTTACAGTGAAACAAATTTACTCCAGCTGTACTGTCCCGCTACTTGCCAGAAAACTAGACACTGATTGGATTGAAAAAGGACTTTGGTTAACGTGTGCTTATTCCTCAATCAATCCATCGATGCCATTCCACAGGTAAATTTCTCACTGAATTTAGAAATATATGACGACACTAGAGATTAAAATAGCAATTTTTAAGGTCTAACCTCTAACTACAAGTTTATTAACCATTCGTCGGTACTAAGCATTCATCCTCACCCATGGCTCTTCAGAAATCACTTTGTTCATAATGTCATATTTTCGTTCTCAGAAGAAGTTAGCCCATGAGACCTATTTAGATTACCACATTAATTTTTCATTTATCTTAAGAGTCTTGTTCCTACATTTTTTGGCCAAATTTTCCTTAGAACGTGGCTAAGCTGCCTTTTATGCTTCTCGATCAATGCGTTACGAATATCCTCTTCTTTCAGAAAATGAACCGTGCCACTCAGAAATGAGCTTGGTCAGTGAAAAGATCTACTCCCGTTTGTTTCGTTAGGATATGCCTTTTTAAGTTTTGAAAGTGTATATGCATTAAAGTGATTAGAGTTGCCAGGTTAGTTTCAACAAAGAGTAGGATTCTGTGATTCTAGACTTCATCTGTTATCTTGTTTTCAATCACTGATTTTAAATATGAGAAATATTACTTCAACCATCAAATGTACTGTATATAACTTTAGATCATTATATTTTCTTCCGTTTATCTTTTTCAGCCAGAAAATTTTAATCCTCTGTTCAGACATCATTCAAATAACGTCTGTATATGTGTAGATCCGTCTACCTTCCTTCCCGTGAGAAAACAAAATTTGTCTATTTAGCATTAATTTTGGATATTGGAAAAAGAATACAAATACGCATGTCAATTCACCAAATCGTTGAGATGGGTCAGTGCCGAATTTATCTTCTTACCTGAAGAATCTACGCCTCCTGACTGTGTCCCTCTGTCAAATATTAGTCAGCCTTCAAAAGCGGGTAATTCTTCTGATCTATGAATGCCCAATGATCATTTTTGGGTTGATCCATAGGAAAAACTCTGTAAGGCTGTGCATTAAAGTTCTTTTCTTCAAATAGCTCATTTGTTGTTTTCGCAATTTTAATGAACAGTTTTTCAACACTACAGAAATCTATGCTTTATTTTTATTGAATATACCAGAACATAAATCTTTGTTTTATCCAGCATTTTTTCTGATAAGTAGACTGCTGTCTGATTCTTATGTGCAGGATTTTGGCTAACCGGCAGTCTGCTGCTCGATCAAAGGAACGAAAGGCCCGTTATATCTCTGAACTTGAGCAAAAAGTTCAGGCACTTCAAACTGAAGCTACGACCCTATCTGCACAGCTCACCCTGTACCAGGTCCATGCCAATCCTTTGTGATATGTCTTAAACTGAAATCGTTAAAATTAGGTTTTAACAAGTAATGGTCCAGAGGTTAAATTGGGTCAGCTTATTGTTGTAAGTGTACAAATCTGTGGCGTACCTAGTTTCTTCTATAATTCTAGATTCCTTGCTCAACATTTAAGGCCTATTTCCATGCATATCCGCTTACTTATTATTCAATGCTTCAGGCTTATTCTGGTCATCTATTTGATCCTTCACCCTACCATGCGTATTTTGTACTATCCTCTATTAGAATTTTACCATTCACGTTATTTTTGTATGTCATGCTGCAATAATCAAAAACACCCATCTAGAAAGGCTCTGGTCTTAGATATTTTGGTTCCTAGGATAAAAAATAATAATAATAAATATTTCATTGTTTCATGTTTCTATTATCTTATCAAATATCACATGGGTGTACGATATCTTAATTACTCATTTTTAATTAGTACAAGTGATATCAGCTCGAAGTTTAAGGTACTTATTGCAATGTTTTTTTTCCCTAGAGAGATACATTTGGTTTGACTTCTGAAAATGCGGAGCTCAAGATAAGGTTCCAAGCTATGGAGCAGCAGGCTCAGCTGAGTGATGGTAAGTACACGTTCTATGGTGTAAAGAGATTTTCGGGAGTAGAAATTTATATCCTGTTACTTCCAAATTGAAAAACATGAAAGGATTGGATTCATATACGGACTCATTTGCTAGTTTTTGTAGATATAGGCAAGTTCTGTTCATGTTTTCTGTGCGAATTATCACAGCAAGTGTAATTAAGTCATTGTTGTTGATTAATTGTGCATGCATCTCACGACAGACTGTAAAGTTCTTCTCACCAGATTTGACAGTTTTTTAGTGCCTCTAGTCCCTTTAAATAGTGGAGTTCGATCTCGTCTATCCAACTAGTTCTCAGTCTCGTTGTCCATTCATTTATCCCACGACAACTTGTCTCCTTATTCATCGTGTCAATTTGTCTATTATATTCTATTTGATCCACTTTTCAATCTGTAAATCCAACATTAAGCTGCCACATTTTTTGTTCTTGGTTTTTGTCTCCTTTGTGTGACTGACTGAATAACTCGTGGGCTCGATTTTTTTGATATACATATTCGATAACTCTGATAGTTTTTTTGATATCCCTCAGGCTTTCGATTTGTTCCATCTTCTAATTAATCTTTTTCTTTTTCGTTTTAGTTTGTAGAGTTTTCTCCATATAACATGACTTAACAATATGTTATTCAACCAACACAACCTTCTGAGATGGACCTGTCCCTCATTGACTTTTATGATTTCTCTTGCTTTGTCTTTTGCGGACATGGATCCTTGTACTGAGTTGCACCATTTTCTGCTCTCATGCTGTCTTATTTCTGTACTTGGATATGCTGTTCTCGTCCCATGCCTTTTAGCCTCATAATTTTGAGTCAGAGTTAACCCCCATCATTAACCCTTGTTGTGACGGTCTGGCTTCCCCATTATTCAGAGCTATTGGCACGCCTGCTATTGGCCATGGATCGCCATCACATGTGAGACCTTCTTGATCTTTATGAAGTTTAGAGTGGGTTACTTCCAGCCGGATGAACAAACTCAAGTTCCGATGATTTTGACCTGGGAATGAACCAAACTTGATTGGTGTGTAATTTATTCGGGAAAGGGCTAGCATACCTATATTCACGCCTTTATTGTTGCTGCACTTGACGGTTACTCTTTGTTAGATTTATCCGAAAGGCGACTAACATCATTTTTCTTTACGGATTTCATATGCCTTGCCATTTCATCTTTTAGAATGAGGAAAGCCTTCTCCCTTTGGGAGGCCCAATGCCGTAGATGCATCATGTATCCCAATGCCGTAGATCATACTTCTCGTTATAATTATCATATTGTTACCACATATTTTTATTATACATATTATGATTTAAGTTGGTTATTATCTAATTATATATGAAATAATACTGTGGTCTATTTTTAAGCCTATGAACTCGTCATATCTGATGACAGTACCCTCAGAGTACTGCTTGTAAACCAATAATGTTATAGTAGTTAATATTTTGCAGTTGAAGTATAGTTGTTTGACATAGAAGTCAGTAATTACCACATGTTTTAGACTGAGAGAGTGGACTACGATCTGTCATTATGACAGAGGGCAGCTAAACAGAATTTGTTTTTAAGGGGTCTTCTAGCATCACTTTGGACATTGACCCTTCTCTTTTCGAACAGCAGAGAAATATTCGACACTGTACAATCCAAAAAAGTTGTGATACCATTGTAAGTTCAGGTTTTATCAATAATGTTATGTTTCTCAACCTTATGCCATGTTCTGAAGACAATCAGACACAATAGATGGTCAAATTTTTAAAGGAGAAATCATCAATTCCATCTGTTTTTTTTTTTTTTTTGCACAGACCCCATATGTGAATTTTCATGCTGAGTGGTATAAACAGGTGGAAAATGTTGACCTTTTTTTTTAATTTGGGAGATTTTTATCATTCATCTTTCTGTTCTTGCCCTCTCCTTTTTCCTCTTTTTCGTATTTTATTAATGGTAGGCAGGAGTTGACTGGAATCAGACCATCAACGACTGCAATTTGGTCAGGCGAATTTGAGATGCATTTTGATGACCTCAGTGTAAGGAGCGGCTGGGTGGGGCAATTAGACAGGAGAGGGGTTCAAATGATAAAGAATGGTTGATCAAAGAGTTCTACGGCCCTATTAGTTGAAGAATGGATGATCAATATCACTAGATTTAACTTATGTCGTGAATTTTTCGTTAGATACGATGTAATGTGGTAACGTTGTTGCCTTGCCTCTGACCTGTAATGGGGTTACTTTCCATGGATTTACCTGCGGATTTGGAAGCAGGGTCATGATATCTGTTCCCATCCTGCTGCGAGATCAAGATACATTATCTCTTTTAGAGCCCTGATAACTTAGTGCCCAAAACCAAACAATAGGTTACACACTAGATATATTTACATTTTGAATTTATAAACTGGCCCCTCCCAATGTTCTGAAGCAATGGACTTGCAGACCGTGGATATCTTGCTGTTGCCCACGTACCCTTCTACTTCCTGCCTCTGAAATTGTCCTGCTTGTCTCCATATGTACGTGGATGGTTTCACCTTGTCAGTTGGTCTGGCAATACCATTGATGACCTGGTTTATTGTCACATAAATTGCAAGGACAGAGACTTTAAATTGACTACCAAAAGCGGCTACGACTGTTCATCACTTCCACTTTCGTTTTCCTTTTTAATCCTTCACGACAGGAAAGAAATCAGCCGTGAAATTTGTTTATTAGCCACCCAAAAAGATGTCGAACTGACAGAATCTTGCACCCTGCTGCAGGTTTTGTAAAAACTTGGTGGCATTTTGTCATGTATCTTGGTGTTTGCAGTATTAGTACGGATTTAGTAGAATGAGAATAAAATATTGAGCTTTCCTGATCCTTTATCTTCATCTGATCATCTGCTGAACGATAACGACAGCACTGAACGAGGCTCTGAAGAAGGAAGTCGAAAGGCTCAAGCTTGCAACGGGGGAGACGCTCAGCCCTTGTGAGGCCTTCAACGTGGAGCTGCACCATGTGTCCTACAGCCCATCCTTCTTTCCACCGTCTCATCGGCACTCGGGTATTTCCCATGGGATCCAGCTGCAGCATCTGCTCCATCAGGCACAGCAGAACTTACAGAACCACCAGTTTCCTGCGCGGTCCAATGGCCTCGCAGATTTCTTGCATCAAGATCCCCTTGGGACTTTGCAGGGGCTGGACATCACCGGGGCTTCGTACTCGGTCAAATCCGAGAGCCCCTCCATTTCTGCGACCGAGAGCAGCACCACCTTCTGACTGGGGTCCTTCTCCAGACCTGAGGAGCATTCACTCACTCTATTGATTTGTTTATAGCCAGACTGCTTCATATCGTGTTTAATAATTTGTTTCCATTCCATTTGTTCTTTCGAGGCCCTTTTGACTTCGTCTCGTAGCGAGGGCCATCTCATTGGTCGGGCTGTCCAGTTTCTTTCCCATCTTGTTCGTCTGTGGCCCCTCGTGGCCATTAAGTCAGTTCCCTGTGTGTGATTAATGTATCACTCCGAGGGACCTACTTCTCTGGACCAGTTGCCCCGCAATTAATTGTGGGCACTTCATTTTTATATTATTTCTTGTAGTTATCTGCTCGCATTATACTGGTTTTAGGAAGAAGGCGCGTTCCTCCTCCACTATGTTCAGTACTTGGAAACCAGAACCTGCGAATCGACGCATTGTTGTCGATGGATGCATGGATAGAGCTTGATCTAGAGGAAGACAACATGTGCGCTGCTGTGAGGGAGGAAGGCCGCTGGAAACAGCACGTTATTCAAAAACACAGAGGGGGACACCTGATGAGCACTGGACACAACGTTGAAGACCTACTTCTCTGGCTGCCGGGAACTAAGACGACTCCTCGACGAGGACACTCGTTAGAGTCTACTACTAAACGCTACACGATCAGGCAGGAGGGAAGCCACTATTATCTACCTCGGCAAGTCCGCCGAGGGCTTCGAGTCCCTCCTCTCTGGTTCAAGAGATCACCCCACCCTGCACAAACACAATGGTGTCATAAGAATCAGCTCTTGCAGACTATGATGTGGGTGTTGGTTCGTCGGTGGAAGCGGGGAGAGAGAGAGAGAACCTGTTACAGTCGGTGGAGGGGCTGATCCGGTAAGGGATGTTCATATTGCATTTCATCGGGAGGGTGGCGGCGTTGTCAGAGATCGGCCCGGTGGCACCCTGCGAAGCGTTCTTCAGGCACCTGCAGATTGACTGGCGGTCGGCGGGGGTTCGCGCCGCCGCGAGGAGATTCCTTGCGCCCTGGCAGCATTGCGGCGGTGGCATCCCTCCGAAGAGGACGTAGTTGAGGCACGGGTTCAGATTGCTGTAGACTACATCGCAGGATATGGCGGACTCCGCCACCGGCGCCACCACCAGAAACACGATCGCTGCCGCCGCCACTACCAGCATCGCACCCCGCGCGCCCATAGTTGACGTCCTTCCTCGAAGAAACGACGCGCGGCTGCTATAACTCTCTGTTCCGAGCTAGGCGAGTAGGGCTGGAGTTGGTGCGGAGTGCCGGAGGTTATCGGTGCAGCATGAGGACGGGAACTTGGGCTCTATTATAGGACCGGAAAGAGGCCTGGGAAGGAAGACGAGCGTCGTAAACGCCATGATCGTCAAGACCGCCATTATGGCACGGCTCAGAGCAGGACCCACTGGTCTCGGATGGATGGAGACGTGATTCCCATACATGGCTGATAGTGACAATCTTGGCACTAAACCACACCCGTCACTCGCAACCCAGTTGGAAGGAGATGATCCACATAACGCGAAACATGAGTTACAGTGGGGTATGGTGACATCTCGATGAATCAACACGCCGCCCGAGCCCTGCACTGGTCCTACCCGGGGTTTAAGAGGGGGCACGTCACTGCCTGACTGTTGGGTAGATGTCCCCCATCAATGAAATATGAAAAGATGATGCAGGCGCATTCATTGACTAAATTTACTTCCGAGATAAAACGCACTCCACCATCCTTCAGATCGGAGTTCTCGATCCTAAGATCTACGCCGTTCGCTACGATCTCCATCTCATGCCCGATTGACCGTCGGAGAAGAAGTAAAGCATACAACCCCATGTGAGAATATCCCGTAAGGAAAGTTTTTGCCTCATCTCTCTATCTGGCAGTGACATGGCGCTTATGGTTACCTGGTGAAGAACGCAAAAAAAATGATGCGGCTTGAATGTTTTACTTTATTAGAATTTTTTTCTCATATGCTACTTTAAATGTGTCTCTATTGTTCCTGACTTCTGGGCACCACTGAAGTGCTCAATTTAACTTTGTCAATTTTAATGCAAGACTATTTTGATAAAATTATGAGGATTATATATTCTAGAAAAAATAAAAATCAAATCCCTACCTATTATCCAAATGGTTTTCCAATGTAATGTATATGCTCAAATTTTTTATCAACCAATATTCCCCTAATATCTTGATTCATGTCAAATTAATCATCAAATTTTAATTTATTTTTTCCTATAAACCCGATCATATTAAGCCTGCAGAATAATGCCGCCATCTGCATATGCATTTCTGAAATGACCAGAATGTTTAGTCTCCTAGGATTCCCAGTATATAAATATTCAGAACTATTTGGGTGGGTTAGTAAGAACGATTTTTCTTCACTTTCTTAGTATAACAATATGTGGTTGAACTAGACAACGTTTTACACAAAAAAATATGGTCAATAGCTATGAAAATGTAATTTTTGGATTGACGTTCTTAGGTGATGAGCTCTGCGACTTGATATTTCTAGAATCTGCACAAAGCTCATCTACGAGGTTACAACTAAATTTCTATAAAAAAAAGTCTGTTCCATATACAATAAAAAATTCTAAAGGTTATCGTGAAGATATTTGGTCAACAGCTCTTGCTGACCTATATACTTTCTCAACTGAAAATTGAGATAGATTGGAATAGTTTAGTTTACTCTTTCAATGTTTTTGTCACGTTGTTTAAGAGGAACACCAACCAAATATGCTAAAGCGAGTGGAGTTGAGGATAGCAGATTATTGGATACGTTCAGAGTTTGCACAAGTGTACTAAGATTCTTATTTTTCGATTCGCATATCAAAATCGGGTCTAGAAAGAAAAATCATCTATTCACCGCTTTGTCTCATGTAAGCCTATGATAACGCCTGGTTGAGAGTATGAGACCCTACTTGTGAAGAAGGCGCTACCTCCTCCATTGTCTCCTCTCCTCTTTTCTGTCATTCTCTTTTATAATTAGGTCCTGTACTTGGAAACCAGGACTTGCGAATTAACGCGGTTGGTGTCTCTTGATGCATAGATAAACCTTGTTCCAGAGTAAGATAACTTGTGGGCTGTTACGAGGATGGAGAATGGCCGCTGCAAACACCACGCCATTGAAAACCACGGAGGTAGAGACTTGATGAGGCCTGGACACAACGCTGAAGGCCTGGCTCTCTAGTTGCCCGAAACTGAGACGACTCCTCGACGACGGCACCCGTCCATCTGCTACTAACACCATACGATGAGGGAGGGGGCGACTATCCTCGGACCTCGGTGAGTCTGCCAAGGGATTCGAGTTCCCCATCCATTCTGGTTCCAGAGTTCATCTCACACTGGACAAAAAACGGCGTCATAAAAGTCAGCTCCTGCAGACCAGGATGCGTGTATTGGGGAGGGGGAAGAAGAGAGAGAGAGAGAGAACCTGCTACAATCGGTGGTGGGGCTGATCTTGTAAGAGATGCTGAGTTTGCATTTCCTCGGGATGGAGGCGGCCGCCTCGATGGTCCTTCCAGAAATACCCTGAGCAGCGTTCTTGAGGCACCTGCATATTGACTGGCGGTCCGAGCGGCTTACCGCCGCCACGAGGAGATTCCTGACGCCCTGGCAGCATTGCGGCGGAGGCACCCCACCGTAGAGGACGTAGTTGATGCACGGGCTCACTTCTCCGTAAACTTGACCGCAGGATATGGCCGACTCCGCCACCGGCGCCACCGCCAGAAACACGAGCGCGGCCGCCGCCATTACCAGCATCGCACCCCGCACGCCCATTGCTGACCTCCTTCCTTGAGGAAACGACGCGCGGTTGCTAGAACTCTCTGTGCCGAGCTAGGCGAGTAGGGCTGGAGTTGGTGCGGAGTGCCGGAGGTTATCGGTGCAGCATGAGGACGGGAACTTGGGCTCTATTATAGGGCCGGGAAGAGGCCTGGGAAGGAAGACGATCGTCGTAAACGCCATGATCGTCAAGACCGCCATTATGGCACGGCTCAGAGCAGGACCCACTGGTCTCGGATGGATGGAGACGTGATTCCCGTACATGGATGATAGTGACAATCTTGGCACTAAACCACACCCGTCATTCGCAACCCAGTTGGAAGGAGATGATCCACATAACGCGAAACTTGAGTTAAGAGTGGGGTGTGGTGATATATCGGTGAATCAACACGCTGCCTATGCCCTGCACCGGTCCCACCCGTGGTTTAAGAGGGGGCACGTCACTGCCTGGCAGTTGGGTAGATGTCCCCATCAATGAAATATGTAAGGATGACGCAGGCGCATTCATTGACTAAATTTATTTTCGAGACAAAACGCACTCCCCCGTCCTTCAGATCAGAGTTTTCGATCCCAAGATCTACGCCGTCCGCTAAGATCCCCTTCTCATGCCCGATTGACCGCCGGAGAAGAAGTAGAGCATACGACCCCATGTGAGAATAAGGAATTTTTTTCCCTCCTCTCTCTCTCTGGCAGTGACATGGATCTTAGGGCTATCTGGTGAAGAACGCAAAAGAAAATGATATGAATTGAATGTTCTACTTTATTAGAATTTTTTTTCTCATTTGCTACTTTAAATGTGCCTTTATTGTTCTTTCACTTCTGGGCACCACTGAAGTGCACACTTAAATATAAGGATTATATATTGTGAAAAATAAAAAAATAAAAATCAAATCCCTACCTATTATCCAAATGGTTTTCCAATGTAATGTATATGCTCTAATTTTTTATCAACCAACATTCCCCTAACAATATGTGGTTGAACTAGACAACGTTTTACACAAAAAAATATGGTCAATAGCTATGAAAATGTAATTTTTGGATTGACGTTCTTAGGTGATGAGCTCTGCGACTTGATACTTCTAGAATCTGCACAAAGCTCATCTACGAGGTTACAACTAAATTTCTATAAAAAAAAGTCTGTTCCATATACAATAAAAAATTCTAAAGGTTATCGTGAAGATATTTGGTCAACAGCTCTTGCTGACCTATATACTTTCTCAACTGAAAATTGAGATAGATTGGAATAGTTTAGTTTACTCTTTCAATGTTTTTGTCACGTTGTTTAAGAGGAACACCAACCAAATATGCTAAAGCGAGTGGAGTTGAGGATAGCAGATTATTGGATACGTTCAGAGTTTGCACAAGTGTACTAAGATTCTTATTTTTCGATTCGCATATCAAAATCGGGTCTAGAAAGAAAAATCATCTATTCACCGCTTTGTCTCATGTAAGCCTATGGTAACGCCTGGTTGAGAGAATGAGACCCTACTTGTGAAGAAGGCGCTACCTCCTCCGTTGTCTCCTCTCCTCTTTTCTGTCATTCTCTTTTATAATTAGGTCCTGTACTTGGAAACCAGGACCTGCGAATTAACGCGGTTGGTGTCTCTTGATGCATAGATAAACCTTGTTCCAGAGTAAGATAACTTGTGGGCTGTTACGAGGATGGAGGATGGTCGCTGCAAACACCACGCCATTGAAACCCACGGAGGGAGAGACTTGATGAGGCCTGGACACAACGCTGAAGGCCTGGCTCTCTAGTTGCCCGAAACTGAGACGACTCCTCGACGACGGCGCCCGTCCGTCTACTACTGACACTATACGATGAGGCAGGAGGCCACTGTCCTCGCACCTCGGTTAGTATGCCGAGGGATTCGAGTTCCCCCTCCTATCTGGTTCCAGAGTTCATCTTATCCTGTACAAAACAACGGCGTCATAAAAGTCAGCTCTTGCAGACCAGGATGTGTATTGGGGAGAGAGAGAGAGAGAGACAGAACCTGCTACAATCCATGGATAAGCTGATCTTGTAACGGGTGTAGAATTTGCATTTCGTCGGGATGATGGCCGTCCACTCGATGGTTCCTAGGGAGATACCCTGAGAAGAGTTCTTGAGGCACCTGCAGATTGCCTGGCGGTCCTCTCGACTTCTCGCCGCCGCGACGATATTCCTGATGCCCTGGCAGCACTGCGACGGAGGTACCCCCCCGTAGAGGGTGTGGATGATGCACGGGCTCACTTCTCCGTAAATATCCCCGCAGGATAGTGCGGACTCCGCAACCGGTGCCACCGCCAGAAGCACGATCGCGGCGGCCGCCACTACCAGCACCGCACCACGGGAGTCCATAGCTGTCCTCCTCCTTCAAGGAAACGACGCGCAGCTTCGGGAAAACTCTGTGCCGACTCAGGCGAGCAGAGCTGGATTTCGGACGGAGTTCTGGAGGCTTTCGGTGCAGCACGAGGACCGGCGCTAGGGCCTGTCTTAAATGGCCGGGAAGAGGCCTAGGGAGGAAGACGGTCGTCGTAAACGCTACGATCGTCAAAACCGCATTTATAGGACGGCTCTGAGCAAATGCCCACTTGTCTCCGACGGATGGAGACTTATTTCCGTACGTGACAGATACCGATTATTTTGACACTAAACCTCGCCCGTCATTTACAACCCAGATGAAGGAGATGATCCACTTAACGCGAAACTTGCGAGTTAGAGTGAGTTATGGTAATATCTCGACGAGTCAACACGCTCCCGGAGCCCTGCACTAGTCCGACCCGTGGTTTAAGAGGAGCATTCATCACTGCGAGGGGCATTCATCAACTAGATTTATTTTCGAGACAAATTTATGTCCGCCCTTCTGCAGATCAGAGTTATCGATCTGAAGATCGGCACCGTCTATTACGGTCGGCGGGAGCTCCTGGGCGTGAGAGAGAAAAGGGAAAGGAACGGACGAAAATCGTTCATGTATGATCTCCACCTGATGCCTAATTCACCGCCTCTTTTACTGTTCGTTCTCCACCGAAACCGTGCGACAATTTAACTTAGACGGGTAAATGAGTGCTAATAAATTCAGGAAGTCCGTGGTCTCCGAATATTTCTTCTAAAGTAAAAATCGAATTTGTTACGTATTGTATATTATCTGCATGCAATGAACTAATTTGTGAACGTTTTTTTCCACTCGAGAAGAGAACTCGAATTATCATGGACTCAATTTTTCATAAAGAAGTACACGATATTTGATAAAATGCTCCTTTATAAATTTTAGTTGTGTAAGATGAGAATAACACGCTTCCAGCTTTGATTACCATTATCATACTTGGATAACACGCTTCCAACTATGAATAACAATTCATAGTTGGAGATTACGATTTGAATCACATGATAAAAAAAAAAGGATTCCTTTTTTCTTGTATGCCTTCAAGAAGATCCCCTCGTATACTATACATGGCAATGAATTGTGTTATACCAAGCATTATTGAATTATGTCGCTCGATGATGTTGTCTCATACTTAGAAAGTGAAGAAGAGTTAAAAACTAGAGCTCTAACAACATTAGAAATAGGCCGCCATGAGAATATTCAAAGAGAGCCCAACTAACAATTTGGCCGAATAAAAGTACAAAAGGTTACTTTAGAAATTTTATTTTCTGTAAAATTTCCTTTGTCTCTTTTCTTTTAGAAGATGTTATAAATACTGTTCATAGTATGTCACCAAGATCTGTTCAAGAAAGTCATTTTAGAGCTAGTTAGAACATGTCTCTAAAAGCACCCCACCCCATTTTAGGCCTATAAAACCTCCATTGCAACTTAAAGATGACACTTCTTAAAAGTATAATGAGTTTTCTATATTATGAGGTTCTCCTCTATTGATCTTGTGGATTCAAGATGACACTTGAGGATTCAAGTGTTTGTATTGATCTTATGGATTTGAGGTCAACTTTCCTTATAGATTCAATGGTTGAATTGTTTAGTTATGTAGATTCATAAACTAGTTTCTTCTTCAAGATTTGTGCATAATAGATTTAAGCTTGGATTTTTCTATCCTCGACATCATTGATGCATTAGTGGGTATTAGAGTAAGTTCTACATTCCAAATCAGCATTTCAAGATGTCTTGAGGTAGATCAATCCATATTAATAATGATAATGCTGTTGAGGTATGCCATTTCTCAATATTAATTTTGTTTGAATTTCAAAAACATATAGGCCAACATTTTTGTCAAACAAGACATGGTAATGGGTGGGTCTGCTAGTTCCCCAAAAACAGCCATCGTGGCACAAAATTATAAGACAAAAATTTCATTACTTTATCCACTATAGAGGTTGACACTATTTGTAGGAACCTACTTGATAATTCTCTGAATTTTATGATTATGCCACTTTTTATTTGTGTTAGTGCTTTATTTTTTAAAACAAAATTACATATATTAATATAATTTTCATAAAATATTTTTTTTATGAATTACATTGATTTTGATATTTCTTTGAACATAATAGGTTAAATGTGATCATGAGTTGTGAGGGTTAAATAATAAATTTAATATTTAAAACTTTGAGATGATCCAAGATGTTTTCTATTTTTTAAAATCTCTGAAATTTTATTCTAAAATTTAAAGATTTTTTAGATTTATAAGATTTTATGAAGTTTTGTGAGTTTATTATGATAAAAGGTAAAGTAGAATAATCAATAACATAATAAAAACTTAGACACATGTGCTTCACTCCTCTTCCACATACATGTGTGTCACTCCTCTTCCACATCATTGGGAGGGAACCCATATATAGAGTAAGGTATGATCTCATCACATGTGTGTTGTGTGGGGTCCAACCACCTGCCTAGTCTTTTTCTCAAGCAGTCTTAGTTATTTTGTTTATTAGAGAAATAACTCATATCTATAACAACAACTAGACTTATATACCCCTGACAAAAAAACTAATATGAGACTAAACCTTCATGATCACTAGTACTGGGCTAGTTGACCATTGATCCACCTATCATGTAGCCAAGTTT